TTACATGCTGAAAACCGCATTTCAAGGTTGATTTGAGTTTGTAAGGTTTTGTAGCACCAATTTTTGCTATAGAAGCCCGAACAATGAACTCTGTGTCAGAATATGAAAGACTCATTGTACTTTTTAAATGATATGTATCTTCAAGCTCGTGGTTGTGCATTTCTTGAAACTTGCCAAACTTATACTTACTTGTTTCTTTCACATGTTTCACAATAATTTTAGCTTTACAATCTAACACCCTGTAGATTGTATTACGTTGATCCTTAATATCCACCGACTTCATTTTTGGTTTATCCATCCTGTTACAAACCACATACCAGTGCTTTCTTATATCACCATTTTTTTCTTAATGTGTTCATACAAACATCAAAACCAACCTTCTATGCATATCTTTTATAAAAATTAACTCCCCCATCAACATCTTTGAAAATCATTGACAAGGTTTAAATTCTTCAGGAACATTTGGTTTGATTGCGGAACCTCTAACCCGACAATACCTGCTACACAACTTGTACTCATTCTACTACTTCAATTTGCATCATTGGAAGAAGTAGAACATTCACCTATATAATCAAGTATGGGAAATGTATTAACCACATATGATTATAAAAGAAACAATAAAATATACATAAATTTATGCAATGTAAGATCACATTTGATTAATAATGAATCCCTTATACAATCATATGTGATAATCACATATGACTAACACTATATTAAATAAAAAATTGAATATACAAATAAATATACATCAATGTATGCAATGTACAATCACATGTGATTAACTCTAAAAATTAATAACAATATCACTGACTAATCACATGTGATTAATAATGAATTCCTTATACAATCATATGTGATAATAACATATGCGATTAATAAGGAATTCATTATTAATCACATGTGATTAATTAGTGGTTTTGTTATTAAATTTAAAATTAATCAAATGTGATTGTACATTGCATATATGTTTAGTTTATCTATGTTCAATTCTCTGTTATAATCTCATGTGATTAATAATGAATTCCTTATACAATCATATGTGATTATAACAGAGAATTGAACATAGACAAACAAAACATGTGTCAATATTTATTCAAATATAAAAAATAGATAATCACATATGATTAACATTATATTAAATAGATTTAATAAAAAAAACTATTAAATAATCACATAGGATTAATAAACAAAATCAATTCTAATACATCAATAATTAAGAAACAATGAATTACTTATATAACCATATCTGATCAAATAAGTATTTAAAATGAAATTTACCGAAAACATTGTAGTTTTGGTTTTGATGACTTGAATATTCAAAATCTTCATCAACATCTTCAACACTCTTAGCAAAAATACTAAATTGATCTTCATTTCTAAAGAAATTCACATTATCACTTGCAAAAGACATTGTTAAACAACAAAACCTATGAATAACAACATTTAACATTTATTATTATAACAGATGTTAATAATATATGATTTAAAACAACTATAATATAAACGTTAAATGTTTAACATATGTTAATCATATATGATTGAATATATTTCTGTATACAAAACATAGTAATCACATATGATTTTCTCAATGATATGTTTCTATAATAGCTAAGCATAAACTGTTAATAAATGATTTTAATCACATCTGGTTGAAGTAATACGGTTTTAAACATATACCATTCACATGTTTTTTTGAATGTTTTAGGTTTTTCTGCAAGAATAAATCCATATTATTAGCGTAATACTCAATAATTTCAGTTTATACTTCAAAATGCAGTTAGAATGCACGTTCAAAACAAAAATAAACAATTGAAATAAGAATCAAAGTTTAATGATCAAAATAAGTTATGCAAAGTGACAAAATTTATTGTTTGATGGAAAATATGTTAAACATAACTCCTTTCGAACTCAAAACATAAAATAATTGATTCGATTACTAAAATAGATTATCTAAATACAAATATGAGTGTTTAATTACCGAAAAAAACTTATGCAATGTGAAGATTTTTACCTTTTGATAGAACGAACTGTTAAACCTAACTTCTTCAACAAAGTTGCAATTTCTTCTTCTATGAGAATCGACACAAAAAACAGAGTGAATTTTGGAAGCAAAATCGTAGAAATCGTTGAGATTTAGAAAGAATTTACGTCAAAATCGTTGAAATCAGATGAAAAATCGTTGAAATCAAATTCTCGAGTGAGTTACGTCAAACATAGAAACAAAATCAGATGAACAAACGTTTATAAGAGCAAGGTTACAGAAATACCACTGACTTAATTAGAAAAGGGAAGTGCGTGCTTTTGCTAACTGATTAGGCTATTTTTTGTTCTCAATTGTTCTCGAAATAAGAAATGTTCTCATTTGAACATATATATATATATATATATATATCATATCATCAATGAAACATTTTTACTTTCACCACATCCATTTGAAACTCTCAACTCTTCATCTTTCCATATAATATACTGAATTTATTAACTTAAATATGTTGTTAAATATAAACATTATCATACATGGAAGACTTCTTGAATTATCAATATTCACTATGATATACTTAATTTGTTGACTTCAAAGTAATGTTAAACCCATAGCCTAAATTAATATATCAAATAAATATAAAAATATAGTATAAAATTTAAAACCTAAACTAAAATATCAAATAAAGTTCTAAAAAAATCAACATATATTTTTAAAAATAGTTACAAGTAAAATATTAAATATGATAAATATAAAAGAACCTAAATCTTAAAGTTGAGTTAAGTAAAAAGATGTCCAAAAACTAATTTTTATAGTAACTAAAATTCAATTAAGTTGTTTTTAAAATAACTGATAATAATAATAATAATAAATTAAATTAATATAAAATTATAAATTAATATATGTTACATTACAAACACTAGTTGATAATATAAATAATCATCATGATGAAATTAAAATATCATCAAAAAATTTAAAAATTAATAAATCATAACATTGGTTACTTAAAATAGTTGAAAAATATAACTATTATCATACACACGTAAAGCGTGAGTAGAAATCATTAAATGATTTGATTTTAATGAGTATTATTTATCTATTGTTCAAATTAATTATAATTTTACATCATTTAAATGTAATAATTATTATTTTCTATTTATATAAATAACATAATTATTTTCAATAACATATATATGATTACCAAAAGTTTATATATATATATATATATATATATATATATAGATATATATATATATATATATATATATCTATAATTAGGAGTCAGTACCTTTAACTTATAAAAAACAAATAATTAGTCTAAATATGTATTTCATATCGGTGTGTACACCTACGCCAAAGTGGTATCACTTAATTGGTCTTCCTTTTTTCATTTTCCAATAAATATTCTAAATTATATACAGTATTATATATTGTTTTGAAAAGATAAAAATAATACTCCTTCCGACTAATATTAATAGCCTATTTTTCTTTTTGGTTTGTACTAAAATAATAGTCTACATCTAAAAATAAATAACCGATTTAACAAAATATCCATCATTATTAGTTAACCTACCATTAAATCAAATGCAACAAAAGGGTAAGACTATCATTTTATTTAATAAAGTTAGTGGTAATTAATGATTTTCTTAATCTGTGTGTTTTTTGTCTGTGGACAATAATTTTAAGACAGAGGGAATATAAAATATATCAAAATCTATGATTTATTTCTTCTACAAATAAAGATCAATATTGATATATAAAAATATTTTATTATTATTTTTTAATAATAATAATAATAATAATAATAATAATTTATTTGATATTTGTTAATTAAGTCAAATCTAATTAAGTGTGAATGAATATTACATAGCTTCTTACCAAAACCTTACCGGGCGAGGGGCGAGTAAGAGGCATATCATAGAGACTATAAGACTAAGTCAGTCTCAATTAATTGTGGTATCGCATATCAAAGACTATTAGACCGATTCAGACCCAGCTAATTTGTGGCATCAAACGGTCTGAATTTGAGAATGTGAGGCCCAGCCTCTTACTAAAAGAAATATCAACCCGTCTCTAATAAAATAAAACCAAGCACTCAACTATTGCAAAATTTTACCCCAAACACAGAAAGTGGAATAATTCATTATTTTGACTGGCGCTGCTACAGTTGGTATCGACTTGATTGTTTGTTAAGCTTGTTGTTTTCTAATTGACAGTAATAATTCAGAGGACAACGCAGAAAGTAGAATGGAACAGGATAGATTCTTTTCTTTTACACATCTCACATTGCACGAAAGCAATATCCAATCAGAATTCGCAGCATGAAACTGAAAATGGAATTATGGAATTAATGGACCCAAATCTGGCTGCAAAGGTAGATGGTGAAGCACATCACTTAAGAAACCTAACTACTAAGAATGAGTTATTTCTATTTGATATATTTTCTTTGACTTGGAGTGAGTTATTTTGTACTACATTGACTTGCCAATAGTCATGCATTGATACCATTTCATTACACCTCCAAGATTATTTTTTCATGAAGTGTGGGTCAAGAAATTAAAGATCTGCATACTTAATTAGAGAATATATCCCCACTTTCCCACCCATCATCACCCGAAGTTTATTATTATTATTATTATTATTATTATTATTATTATTATTTAGTGCAAGGAACAAGACCTCGCTTTAAAATACATTATTTTTATAAAGCATCACAAGGAGATTTGCATTGTGGGTAGGAAGAGATACTATGTGTCAACTTGATTATAGCACAAAGGATAGTTTTGAAGCAAATCATCAGGAGCATAATTCTTATCCAGACAAATATCCAAAAGGAACTTCTCTTTTTTATAATTTGTTTGCTTTTTTTCTTCTCCAATTCCTTTGAGGATTAAATTATGAAACCAGTGACACTCAGCATCCCCTATATATATAGAAGCCATGAAGCCTCAAAGTCTACCAAGACAAGCTTGCAAGCACATCTGACCAAGAGTTCATTTGCACGGTATTTTGCTAAATGGATAGAGTAACAGACTTGGCATCTAAGAAAGCTGCAGTGATCTTCACCAAGAGTTCATGTTGCATGTGCCACAGTATCAAGGCACTATTTTACGAACTTGGAGCAAGTCCTGCTATTCATGAAGTTGATCATGATGCGGATATGGAGTGGGCCCTGAAACGCCTTGGTTGTAATCCTTCCCTCCCAGCAGTGTTCATAGGTGGTAAATATGTAGGCTCGGCCAGAGATGTCATTTCCCTTCATGTTGATGGATCGCTGAAACAAAAGCTTATTGAAGCAAGAGCTATCTGGTTCTAGCTAGCTGTACCATGCATAAACAAAAAAAAAGTACTATGTCAGTTTGTGTTATAGTAAGATAATCAAGTAGCAAAGACATCATGTTAGAATAACATGAATGTTCATTGTACTAAGAGCTGCTCTTTTTTGCGTGCTCTCTTGACTGTACATAAAGGAGTCACCCTTTGTTAATTTTGACTTCCTGGTCTTCAAGATACTATACATACTTTATTGTAATTATTGCCTTCTTATGTTATCCTCGATCGTTGTCATTGTTTAATTTCATGGGACATCAATGATACATATACGAGTAACCATACTTCTAAGCTATATATATATAAGAAAGTTAAAATCTGATTATCATCATGTTTTGACAGAGAAATCATCCTCCTTGTCCCTGGTGACAAGCGAACAGCTCTATCCCTACCGCCAGAAGAAATAAAAGAGAGGTTCTGTATCTTATAATGGTAAAAAAATGATGTATTGCTTGCTTGTTGCTTACTTGGTATTGTAAACATCATGACCATTTGACTTGGTGCTTTGACTTTTCACCCAAAAGTCTCCCCTAGTTTTTCTCTTATTCCCTATGAGATCCCAACATTATTGTAAAAAAAAGGTAAACACCACCAGTGGGTGCTCCCCAGGCGAGGTAAATGACATTGTACTCCTCAAAGTAAGGAAGGTGATGACCAGGCTCAAGCCTGATACCATACCACTAGGACACTCATGCGCAGGGACATCCCAACATTATTGTAAATCACCTCATATACACTTGAACATTTACTTGAGCTAGGATTTCATTGTAACCATATTAGGTAATATGTCCATGACTCCATGTCTTATGATCAAGCCCGTGAAGAGTATACATGGTTACTCCTATGCTTAATAAGTACATGTGTGAGGGTGTGATTGAACGGGAGTATGGAACGAAACCGAGTAGTCAGCCTGGTTTTGTCTTGCTGGGTTAGGATCATTATTCGGATTTGGCTCAAGATCAAAAAAAAAAAAACAAAAATACCTTTAAAGTTTAAGAACTTCAACAAGTTGATAAACGATTTCTCAAAAAGAGTAGTAATGCAAAACGAAAAATAATACAGATTTTAACATGGGTCACATGATGAGAGGCTACGTCGGCCACTGGAGAACACGAGAGAGAGGTTTTATCGATACTGCCGAATGGCTTTCTGATACCTTAGGTTACACGATTTCAGAGAATATATATACTCCGTACTAGTTATTTGACCTCAAATGCCCGAAACAATCTGACAAATCTGGTCCACGACGAAATCTAAAAGAACTAGCCCACGAAAAAAAAAAATCTTTTGGCTATAGGGCCAAATGGTGAATTAGACTTCACGACTTAACAAAAAAAAATTTCAACCTCAAGTGTCCTATAGGAAAAACTCAAATGATTGGAACAAATTTAAGAATCGAGTTCCTTAAGTTCTAGGTTCCCGGACAAAAAACAAATTTATGAATCGACTACTTTATGCAGGTTTAATTATCATACTTTCTAATCTTATCAGGGAGAAGTTCAACCATTTTTTTCAAGCATAAAAAAGAGCTCAGATGATCTTGACTAGTAGAATATGCCCGAAGCTCTGTAGAAGAAATTAAGTTTGCAGTTGTAAAAAAACAATAACTTAATCTTGAAAGCATAATGATCTGAATTAAGAAAAAATAATTTAGTTTGTTGGGAACTTTGGTTGAGTCTGAATACAACTACAATAGCCCACTGGGCCTTTATGTCTATATTTAAATGTTGTCTTCATCTCTGAATCCAAAATAACTATGTTAGTTATGTGAAGTTTGACAAAAATCAGCCAAAATTTAGGCCTCATTTTGAGTTAATTAGCAGATTAGGGTTTGTGAAAAACTCAATATATCAAAGAAAACTTCCCTTTATTATGTAAGAACCCAGTTCAATAAGAATACAATTGAAAACTTGCACTAAACCTATACAAGAAATGTAACCTATCTCTCAATGTAACATATTACACAAGAACATCACACACAAAAGACACATCTCAAAACTCTCTATGTCTTAGATAAAGAAAAGAAACAAAAAACTACAGAGATGGGTTTGAGATGAGAAAGACGAACTGAGAATAAAATAAGAGAGAGAAAGTTATTTTTCTTCGACCATCAACACCTTGGAGAACAATACACCATCAATATGGGAGAATACGTATGCATACATCCTAGCTGTCATCCACATTTAGACCATCCACATCAGCGGTGAAAGCCTTTCAATATTTGCAAGACTATTCCATATCAAAAATGGCCCCACCTACCATATAAAGTTAATTATTATGGTATATTATTTATTAAATAAATATAAATTATAGAGTAATATATTATTATGTTACAAGTTGATAACATAGAGGGCCCACTTACCATTTGAAAGGCTTTCAATATTTGCAAGACTAATACATACGTGGACATGCCATGTCATTTGAAAGTGGTTTGCAATTTCATTTGCAAGACCGATGTAGATGCTCTTAGTCCCTCAACAATCTTCATTCTCAGCCCCTCTATCTCTGAAACATTCAGAAACAACCCTTCTCGATTTATAAACTCGAAACACAAACAAACCAAGTTAGAAGTATTAATTTAAATTCACCTTCCAAGTATAGATTGAGAAATTTTGACCTTCTTTCTAACAGGGTTCCTCAACATTTGTATCTCATCAAACATAAAAGAAAACCGCATCTAGCATCCACCTCATCAAATATTGTTCACCAAAATTCTATATATCTAAAAAGGGTATCCGCCCGTGGGTGTCCCACACGAACTGGTCCCACAGCCAAGGTAAGGTGAATCGCAATGTCGGACAGAGCAAGGAGGTGAGGTCATGTTTGAACCTTAGACCTCGTTTATGAATTCTCACCTCCTTGCCATTAAGACAAGCATGCAGGGACAAAAAAATGCTATATATTTATCGTCCACTGAATCCATGAGCTTGCTGATAATATATATATATATATATATATATATATATATATATATATATATATATATATATAAAATATATATATATATATATATATATATATATATATATATATATAGAGAGAGAGAGAGAGAGAGAGAGAGGTATGTTCAAATGAGAACATTTTTGGATTGAGAACATTTGAGAACATATTTTGTGTATCACATTAAAAAACCCACCCATCCTACCCCACGCCCCACCATACGTCATATTTTCATTTATCATAATATATTACATCTCAGTTGAAACTGCACCACCAAGACTACCGGACCGCCACCTACCGTCGTCAGACCGCCAACCGATGTCGTCGGAGTGCCGCTGCATCAAATCTTCGTGAAATGCCGCTGCAAACCACCACCAATTGTCTCTTCTCTTCCTAAACCAGCTCCTTTTGCGGCTCATCTTCCTCCACCAGAAAGGTACCTCGCTAGATACTAACTTGTCGGAAATCACCTCGTTCTCATCTCATTTCTGATCTCGTTTTCATCATCAGTTCTAGTTTCATCCACCTCCATGAGTCACTGGATCTGGATTTTAATTTTAAGGTCACCAGATCTGGTTTCCGATCTTCACAAAATAGATGTCGAATTCGAAGAAATGGCCATCGGAATCAAATATTGTCGGAGGTGCGGAGGAGGTAAGGCAGGAGGTTCGGTTCCTACACGAGTTACAGAACATCATCACTGATGGCGATGATTGAGATCGAAAAGACAAAACCAACCTTACCTAGAGTTTTCATCGGCCGTAGGCATGGAGGAGTTGCGAAGGAGGTCAAGCAGATGCACTAGATTGGCGAGCTAAAGAAGTTCGTGGAGAGTTTGAGTCTCCAACTTCGTTATTTGTTGTTTCCTAACATCAGGCTGCTCTGCAACATGGATTGGATCTTCATCTTCGCACGGAGAGGAAAGATTCTTCGGAGCAGTGAGCCACCGGAGAAGAAGGTGTCGCCGGAAGAAAAATAAGATGTGTGTGTTGAAAGTGCTTGTGAATTGTGATGAGGAGGTTAAACATTTAGACTCTCTATGCTTTTGGTTATACTACAAATTCGTTCAAAATAATAACTAGATTACATAAATTAAACAATTAAAAAACACATAAACTCCATTCCTCTTTATTTGCAATAAAATATATTAAATTGAAAAAGTTTGATATGACCGTTCATGACCTATCTAATCCAATGAACAATGACTATTGTAGTAGGATACCACCATTATAATAATAATTTTAAACAAAAGTAACTTTTGCTTTCAAGAATTAAGTCAGATTCAATTTTATTATTTTTTGTTATATAGTATATTTTTGGTTATTAAAAAGAAATAGAGTGTATGGTTTCTTTTATCATGATAAATATAAAATTTTAAAATATATCCATTTATATACGAGGATGATACTATTTGTTTTTTTTTTCTGTTTTTTTATTTATATTTGGTTAACATAAATTAAAATAGTCTATTGAGTTTAAGATAACTATATATTAATTAGATTAATCGCATGTGCTTTATTTGAACATTATTCGTTTTGCCTTTTTTTATTCAATAGTTATTTTTGTCTATTTAATCACATATGATTATATATATCTAACCACATATAATTTATGTACGCAATATTTGTTTTTGCATTTTTAATTCAAAAGTTGTTCTTAGTCCACATTAATCATATGTGATTAAATAAATATAATTGCAAGTTATTAAATACACGAGTACATCTATTGAATCAAAAACACGAAAACAATTTTTCCACATAAATCATACGCGATTAGATACATATAATCATATGTGATTAAATACACAAGACCAACTATTAAATCGAAAAAGCAAAAATGAATATTGTCAAAATAAATCATATGTGATTATATAAGTCTAATCACATATGACTTATGTGGATATATTTTTTTTTTGCATTTTCGATTTAATAGTTGGTCTCGTGTATTCAATCATAAGTGATTATATTTATCTACTCATATATGATTTATATGAACAAATCTTGTCTATTTAAATCATATGTGATTAGATACATACAATCACATGTA